CTTAGTGAAATGTGGGGGAGGGGAGGTGCGGCCATCACCTGCCCCTCCAGGTACAAGGGGATTCCGGTAAAGGAATCCGCGGGTCCGGATCTCGTCCAAAGTCTGCTTTGGAGGCTAGGGCCATGCCAGGACCCAGCAGGAACCCCGGGGTGAGTTTCAGTTGGTCACCATTGATGGAGCTCCAGACACGCTGAAAAGCTCCACAGCAAGAATGCAAGGAGAAGCATAAAATAAAGGTGATTAAAACCTATTTAATGATTTATGGACTGGAGGAAGGTCGTGGAGGGAAGTTACAATTTTGTTTAGGAAAGGCTGGCCTTATGAAATGCAAGATATAATAAGAGAGGAAGATGGTCGATGCTTAATAATTGTAATTAAAACAGAAGGGACAGAAATAGCAACAGTAAATATCTATGCCCCAAACACTGATGACCATAAGTTTATTCACAATTGCTTTAAGAGATTAAGTTTCCTATGGTATCAGCAGTTGATAATGGGTGGAGACTTTAATGAAATTTTAGATCCACAGATGGATACCACATCAGTAGCCAGGAAAAGAAGGACAAAGGTTAGAGAGACAATAATTATATGATACAGTGGAATTTAGTGGATCCTTTTAATATATCATTCTTAAATGGAAAAAAAAACTTCATTCAATATATAACCCAAGAAACACAAATATATTTTAAAAATAACTACAAATCTTCAACGTCAAGACTGGTGGAATAGGAAGGATATAAAGCTTACATCAGAGGGAAGATAATCTCCTTCTCTGCCAACAAAGCCAAGCTGCAAAGATTAAAAGAAAACAATCTAAAAACTTCTTTAAAAACACTATGGGGCGATATGTCAAATAACCCATGCTATCAGCACCCCTAAATATATTAGATATTGAGAATGGTATAGAAACAATGGAGAATGGGAAATCACCTGGAACAGACGGTTTTCCTATGGAATGGTATAAAATATTCAAAAATCTACTAGTTCCCAGACTTCTAGAAGTCTATAAGGAAATAGCTCATAAAGGTATATCTGCTACAACATTCAATGAAGCTTTAATAATGATTATACCAAAACCTAGCAAAGACCCTACTAAATGTGCAAAGTATAGACTAATATCATTAATGAATGTGGATGCAAAGATTTTGAATGTAATATTGGCGGCAAAATTACAAAAAGTTATTCAAGACTTGATACCTAATACAGTGGTACCCCGCAAGACGAATGCCTCGCAAGACGGAAAACCCGCAAGACGAAAGGGTTTTCTGTTTTGGAGGCGCTTCGCAAGACGAATTTCCCTATGGGCTTGCATCGCAAGACGAAAGCCCATAGGGAAATGCTGGCGGTCGGGAGCAAAGACTTTCGCCCACAGCCGGCCTTCAGAAGAGGACCTCTTCTGAAGGCCGGAGGGGGGCAAAAGTCTTGCCCCCCCCGCCTGCCTTCCCCCCGCCTGCCCCGGGCGATCTTAAAATGCTGGCGGGCGGGAGCGAAGCGTTAGCTGCCGACCCCCAGCATTTTAAAATCTCCCCGTGTCCCGGGAAGGTTTTAAAATGCTGGGGGTCGGCAGCGCTTCGCTCCCGACCCCCAGCATTTTAAAACGCTGTTCTGAAGGGGGGGCGGGGACACCTGCCCCAGCCGCCCCACTTCAGAAAGCTGTTCCGAAGTGGGGAGGGGGGGCGGGGACACCTGCCCCAGCCGCCCCACTTCGGAAAGCTGTTCCGAAGCGGGGAGGGGGGGCGGGGACAACTGCCCCAGCCGCCGCACTTCGGAAAGCTGTTCCGAAGTGGGGAGGGGGGGCGGGGACACCTTCTGAAGGCGGGCGGGGGGCGAAAGTCTTTGTCCCCCCTGCCTGCCTTCCCAGGGGCTTTTAAATCGCCCCGGACAGCGGAGAAGTCCTCCGCTGTCCCGGGGCGATTTTAAAATGCCGCCCGCCAGCATTTTAAGATCACCCGGACAGCGGAGAAGTCCTCCGCTGTCCCGGGGTTTTTTAAAATGCTGGGGGTGGGAAGAAAAGCCCTTGTCCCCCCCCCCAGCCTTCAGAAGAGGTCCGGGGACAGACTGTCCCCGGACCTGGTCTGAAGGCGGTTTCCCTAGGAACGCATTAATTGATTTTCAATGCATTCCTATGGGAAACCGTGCATCGCAAGACGAAAAAACCGCAAGACGAAGAGACTTGCGGAACGAATTAATTTCGTCTTGCGAGGCACCACTGTAATCAAACAGGTTTTATAAAAACAAGACAAGCTACAGATAATAATAATAATAATAATAATAATAATAATAATAATAATAATATATTTATACCCCGCCCATCTGCCTCGGCTACCACTCTGGGTGGCTTCCAAAAGAATGTTAAAATACTGTGATATCAGATTAACAATAGATTTGATAAACTTAAAGATGAAGAGGAGTTTATGATATTGTCATTAGATGCAGAAAAGGCTTTTGACAGAATATATAAAGAATTCATAGGGTTTGTGTTACGTAAATTTGGTTTACCCATAGAATACTGTAATTGGATTAAAATGAGTTATAAAAAACATTAACAAGAGCAATAATTCAGGATGAGCATATCAAGGATGTAAAACACAACAAAGATAATTACAAAATTGTATTATTTGTGGATGATATCCTTTTATTTATTACAAAACCAGAAGATACAATTCCAAAAAATTATGGAGAAAATAAAAACCTTTGGCAGAATATCGGAATATTCTATAAATTGGACAAAATCAGAGATTTTACCAATTGGGCCCAGGGCTACATTGTATAGAAACCATCAATTTTGGATGTTCAAAGACTTTATTAAATACTTGGATATACTGATTTCATCAGATATAGACCAAATTGTAAAATTAAATTTGAATCAAATTATAAATGAGGTTTCTTTTGATATTGAGAGGTGGGGACCTCTAAACCTCTCCCTTTGGGGAAAGGTTAATGTCATCAAAATAAATGTTGTTCCAAAGCTTTTATACATTCTTAGAGGATTACCAATACATATTCCCAAATTTTACTTCCAAAAAATAAATCAACTATTTAGATCGTGCCTGTGGGGTACAAAGCCACCGAAAATATCACTACATAAAATGCAACTTCCAACTAAGGAAGGTGGCTTTGGTCTCCCAAATCTGGAACTCTATCACAAGGCCTATCTGCTGAGTAAGACTAACGATTGGAGATGTAGCAGGAATCCCAATAGGCCTACTCTCGAATATAGTTTCTTGGAACCTCTTGTAGGGTGGACTCAACTCGGCTCCAATTTTATGAAATATCCTATTATCCTGGAGACTATTAAAGCACCTATAAAAATTTGGATGAATATAAATAAAAATAACGATGACCCCTATCAACATGAGAAATTAACAATATGGGCCAACCCAAAATTAAAAATTGGAAATCAAGTAATAATTTGGCAAAATTGGATGAAAAAAGATATTTTGACATTGAATCAATTAATTGATGAAAATTATAAATTTGTGGAATATAAGACTTTGCAAGGAAAGTATGGAATAACCAGTGAAACACAATGGCAATACATCCTATTGAAACATATGTTGGAAAGGCAGTTTGGCCCTGACGCTATAGCAGCATCGGAAACACCCATGCTGCTACAAGATTTAATCTCTGCAGCAAAAACAAAAAACTCTACACTTGCACTATATAAAACCCTACTCAACAGGAAGAAATATGATTTAGAATACGATAGACAAAAATGGAGTGAAGAGTTGGGGCTCCAGATAACAAATGACATATGGGAGTCAAGTATAAAATCAACAGAAATAGCCTCTATGGATCTAAGACTAAGACTTATTCAACAGAAAATAATATTCGGAGTCCACTGGACTCCCGCAAAACTATACCAGAAGAAAATAACAAGTCCAGACAACTGCTGGAGATGTGGGAGCAAAAATGCGAACTTAGTACATATGATGATTAAATGCCCGATGATAAGATTATTTTGGTGTGAGGTGAGGATATTTATAGGAAGAGTAATAAAAAGAAATTGTTATTTAGCGGAATTAAATTTAATTCTAAGTTATATTCTGGAAACGCAGGAGATTACAAGGGGTCAAAAAAAATATATGGATGTACCGTGCTATATTAGAAGCAAAAAAAGACTTGTTTTGATGAATTGGAAGAGCCGCAGAAAGATTCCATTGAGCACATGGATTGATAATATGGGCAGACTAGCTACATATGATCGAATTGCATGTCGACGCAAATTAAGAATGGATAAATATGAAGAAATCTGGAAGGAATGTTTAAGCAATAAGGCGGATAATGGTGGGAAGTAGGGGGGAGGAGAGAGAGGCGGGAAAATATTGTTAAAAAGGTGTAGTCATTGGTATATCAGTGTATCCAAATCTGAATTGTCAAACCGTGTTATTAGTGTTATTATGTTTTTTGTTGCATGTGTCTTTTGCGATTGCTGTTTGTATTGAAAAAAATGATTAAATAAATTTAAAAAAACAACCATTGATGGTGTCTTACTCTTCCTACAGATTTCCTACAAGGCAGGCAGGAGTTATTGCCAATGCCTAAGCCAGGCATGCCCAAAGTCCGTTTCTGGGGCCTTATCTGGTCTAATCTGGCCCCTGTGTCAGTTTATTTCCTGGGGTAAAATCCTTTAAAAAAACCTCAACAACTGAAAAAAGCTCAACAACGTCTTTGGTTGGCCCTTTGGTCAGCCTTTCACTTCATCAAATCTGGACCTCTTTGGAAAAAGTTTGGACACCACTGGCCTAAGCCAACACCACTCACATTGCTGTAATCAATAAAGCTGTGGCCTAAATTCTGCCCATTAACCTTTAAACTAAAATTCTGCCTCAATGTGTTCTTCTTCTTCTTGGGGGGTGCGCCGGGGACCTTGATGCGCAACTGAATTCTGCGGTGAGAGTGAGCTTAGAGGCATGAATGCAAAAACCAGTTTCGGGACGTAGATCGGGAGAGGACGAACCGTGAGCCCCATTTCTCACATTTTTCTCTTTCCTTTTTAGGCTTCGAAGATTGCGAAGAGCCTTTTCTCGAATGGCCAAAAAAAATAATAAAGTGTGCCCTCTCCCCGAGTCCTCCCCCCTGCCCCCCGCCCGCCCCTCCTGCTCCTCCTCCCGCGGACCCCTTTTCCAAAGGACCAGAAAGGTAAAACCTTTCAGCATATAGTAGTTGATTCTTGTCCCTCAGATTTCTTAGGAAAGGTCTCTCTGTCTGAGGTTTAGATAATCATACCCCATGTGGCTCTTTGTTTCCCTGTAGGCTCCGCTGGCACCTCAAGGAAAAGGAAAACAAAGTCACCCAGAAGGTAATGTCTATTTCCATGGATGTGTTCAGAAAGTCTCTATCTCTCTGTGTGTAAGAAGCCTCTCTAACTGGCAGCCTTCTCTTCTTTTCCTTTCAGAAGAGCTCGTCCTGGAAGACCTGGAGGAAGAGGCGTAAGAGACTGTTTGGCATTGGAGCGGGGACGCGGGTGGCGCTGTAGTGGAAACCACAGAGCCTAGGGCTTGCTGATTGGAAGGTCGGCAGTTCGAATCCCCGCGACGGGGTGAGCTCCCATTGCTTGGTCCCAGCTCCTGCCAACCTAGCAGTTTGAAAGAACGTCAAAGTGCAAGTAGATAAATAGGTACCACTCCGGCGGGAAGGTAAATGGCGTTTCCGTGTGCTGCTCTGGTTCGTCAGAAGAGGCTTAATCACGCTGGCCACATAACCCAGAAAAACTGCCTGCGGACAAACGCCGGCTCCCTCGGCCAGTAAAGCAAGATGAGCGCCGCAACCCCAGAGTCGTCTGCAACTGGACTTAACTGTCAGGGGTCCCTAACCTTTTAAAACTTCCAATATTGGGGAATTGGGGAAAGTTGAGATTATGTTTGCTGTGATTAGATTATTGTAATATGAAACTATTGTGACAAGTGCCATTGAAATAGGTGCTGAGTTTTTATTTCTTTTTGTTGAGGTGTGTTTACTCAACCTTAATGTTTGGGCTGCATATATATTTTTTCAGATGTACAGTTGGTGAAATAACGGATGCAATGAAAAAGGTGTTTGGTGAGCACAAAGCCAGTGACCGCATGGTGAGTGGAGCTTATGGGGGATTACATTCTTTTATCCACTTTATAAGACAATCATTTTTACTTAATAAATGTTCTTCCACATTTTATAAAGTCAAACAATTACCTTATAGCTATTACCTCTTGGCACATGTCTAAAATGGGCGGGTTTTGTTTTGTTAATGCTGGGTTTTCAACCTTACTATGTTAGTTATGTTTGTTATTCAGGTTTGTTGTATCCGTTCTGCAAATTTGCTGTTTTTATTAATTGGTTATGGGAAGTATTGTAAACTAGGCATTTAACAAAATAAACTCATTGCCTTTAATTTAAGGCTGTTGATGATGAGGAGAACCTGGTAAAATACTAGGCTGCGTTCAAATGTCTTACCAGTAGTATATAAAGCCCTAAACACCTTGGGACCAGTTCACCTGCAAGGTTGCTTTAACCCATATCAGCCACTTCATTCTGCAGAACTGGCATGGTTACGGGTACCACATAGTACTTGTTAATAATAATATCCTTCAGCGTATCCACATTTGGGAACTCCTTTCCTAGTGACATCAGGCAAGCACCTCTGTTACTCTGTTTGGTAAAAACATGCTTGTTTTGAGAGACCTACCCAAGAGAATGGTGATGTGTGTTTTAATCTGTGTTTAGCGTATTGCTGATTTTATTTTTTCAATGTTTTGAAAAGGTTGTTTTTAGTACTTTTTACTGATAATTTTATTGCTTTTATGAAATAAATAAAGCAAGCTCAGCATAATTTTGCATCTAGGAGTCACTAGAATTTTTTTGTGTTATTTTAATGTATTCCCTGTTTTTCCTTTTGTTCCTGATTTGATTCAATCTCATCATTACCAAATGGAAGGTAAATGAGAGAGAGAGATTATAAAATTTCCATATACACATAAAACTCCATACTACTCATAGAATTCAAATGCATATAGATAAATCTTTAAAAATGGAGGACTTTTTTGTTGTAGTCACAGCTGTCAAGATACCCTTAAAAATGTTACTTCAACCGTCTGCAACTTACAAAAGCAAATTCTAAATTCAGAGTTAACAAGTTTGTGGAACGTGAAGGTCGGAGACCACGTCTTCTTGTGGCAAAAATGGGCCAGGATGGCCATGACAGAGGAGCCAAAGTGATTGCTACGGGATTTGCTGACCTTGGGTTTGATGTGGATATAGGCCCACTCTTCCAGGTATTTACTCTCTTCCATTCAAATTTTTATTTGTTTGTTTGCTTGCTTGCTTGCTTGCTTGCTTGCTTCTCCTAGCAATTAAAATGTCTGACGCTTGAATAAAGGATAGTTAAAAGTAAAGCGACCCCTGATCGTTAGGTCCAGTTGCGAACAACTCTGGCGTTGCGGCGCTCATCTCACTTTACTGGCCAAGGTAGCTGACGTTTGTCTGCAGTTTTTCCGGGTCATGTAGCCAGCATGACTAAACCGCTTCTGGCAAAACCAGAGCGGTGCACGGAAACGCCATTTACCTTCCCGCCGGAGTGGTACCTATTTACCTACTTTCACTTTGATGTGCTTTCGAACTGCTAGGTTGGCAGGAGCTGAGACCGAGCAACGGGAGCTCACCCCGTTGCGGGGATTTGAACCGCCGACCTTCTGATCGGCAAGCTCTAGGCTCCCAGTAAGTCATCTGTAGGAATGGTTTTATTTATTTTTTGAATATATTTTTGTGTTTTATATTTTTGTACACAGCTATGAGGGCCTCGGGCTTTTAAGCAATTTATTAATTTATAAAATGATTTTGTAAAAAATACATGCAGCTATGTTTCAATTTCCGGTTCGCACCAAAGGTAACAACCAGAATATGTTGTACTGGGATGATTTTACAGATTCCCGAGTTGGAAGATGCAGTGGGTTAGGTGGCTATGTTCCTCTCTCTACTCTACTTTCTGGGCACCCATACAGTGGTACCTCGGGTTAAGTACTTAATTCGTTCCGGAGGTCTGTTCTTAACCTGAAACTGTTCTTAACCTGAAGCACCACTTTAGCTAATGGGGCCTCCCACTGCCGCCGCATCACCGCCAAGCGATTTCTGTTCTCATCCTGAAGCAAAGTTCTTAACCGAGGTACTATTTCTGGGTTAGCGGAGTCTGTAACCTGAAGCGTATGTAACCCGAGGTACCACTGTATTGTCTAACCTAAATGCCAGTAGCAGCCTTCAGCGGTGCATGCTGGTGTCTGTGTTTTTTTGTTGCTCTATGAAAAAAGAAGCGTGGGTCTGCATGCAGTGTTAGGTTTTATGCATTCTTCTTTCCCATATTGTTTGACACTTCCTTTGCTTTCTCTTTCTAGACACCCCGTGAAGTGGCCCAGCAGGCGGTAGATGCAGATGTGCATTGCGTGGGGGTGAGCACCTTGGCTGCTGGCCACAAAACGCTTGTTCCTGAACTCCTCAAAGAGTTGCATGCCCTTGGCCGCCCAGACATTCTCGTCATGTGTGGAGGAGTCATCCCTCCTCAGGTACTGCGCACCACCATCACAAGATAGCTTGTTGTGAGATGATTAAATTGTTCCCAGTGAGGTGGGGTCTCCATCTACTTTCTCCTCCTCCTCCTCCTCCTCCTCCAGGCAAATGATGAACACCACTGAAAGGCTTTTAAAGTAACATCTAGCTATTGAAATGTGGAAATCCTTCAGCAAATTTTGGAAAGCGTTGTAGTTTATAGGTTTAGGGTTCACAGAACAACGCAGTTGAAAAGCAGCCTCCCAAAAGCTTTCTAAAACTGCCAATATAATCAAATAATTTAAAAATCACTTTTTAAAGTTAAAAATATTCATAAACATTTTAAGAAATGAAGAAAAAAAGGGACTTGTTTCCTTTACTGACATAGAAAATATATAATTTTTTCTTCTTCCATAATTTGTTTTTTTCCCCAGGGGGTGGTGGGGCGTTATAAACAAGAATAATGTTATACAGAGTACAGTGGTACCTCGAGTTACAAACGCTTCAGGTTACAAACTCCGCTAACCTGGAGTTACCTCAAGTTAAGAACTTTGCCCCAGGATGAGAATGGAAATTGTGTGCCGGCGGCGCAGCAGCAGCAATAAGCCCCATTAGCGAAAGCACGCCCCTAGTTAAGAACAGTTTCAGGTTAAGAATGGACCTCCGGAAAAAATGAAGTTCGTAGGTACACTGTATACTGTACCAAGTTTTCTTATGTCATTTGCATATCACAAAAATAGCATAATAAATGTGGGGAAATATCCAGAACATATGTTTCATTATTAGTGGTCAGTGTAGACATTCTTGGTTCATGAATTGGTTTAAACAGTTAGGAAGAAGGGAAGAAAGGGCTGGAGGGGGAAATGGCAAGTGGAGTGGGGTAGAATTTGCTTTTCTGCTTCGAATCTCTTGACCTTGGTATACGGTAATTGTTGCACCTGGCAAAAGATTCGTATAGAGCCACAAGTCTCTGGTTGTCTTGGAGCACCAGGCCTTTGGTCAGGGCGCAGCCTGACTCCCTCCTCTGGCAACCTGCACAGTATTTTGGTTGCCATCAATTTGATTTTAATTAATTTTTATAATGAAATATTTTAGAATGTGTGATTATTCAACTATTTGGTTATTTGATTGTTGTTAGCCGCCCTGAGCCCAGCTTCGGCTGGGGAGGGCGGGATATAAATAAAATTTATTATTATTATTATTATTATTATTGGAGCAGAGGTGAAAATGTTCCCCGCTTTTGATGATTTCATTCTTTATGTTAGATAGGATAACACTCAGAGCAGAGATTGCTTGACCCTGTAGTCACTAGGACTTTGCACACATGGCGAGGTTTGCGTAGGTGAGAGCATCACTGCTTTCCCCCCATAGCTAGCATACCAAGTTATTTTCCCTTCTCCATGTGTGCTACCTCCTGACCTGCCATTGCTAAACTCTGCTCTTTTAGCATGTGTTCTGCAAAACTTTACTTTACAAAGTTTGCATGCATGTTTTATGTCTGTTTTTCTCCTGCACAGGATTATGACTTCTTGTATGACTCTGGTGTTTCCAATATATTTGGCCCTGGAACCCGAATCCCAAAGGCAGCTATCCAAGTTCTTGAAGATATTGAGAAATGCTTGGATAAGAGGCAGCAATCTGTGTAAACTTCTGTCTCATAACAAACTTTGTATCTCATGGTGAATTTTATAGTTTGTGTTGATGCATTGTGATCTGTTGATAAAAAGAAGGAATTTTTTGCGAAATCATCTGCAATGTCTGGTGTTGCCTTATGCTTTCTAAGAAAGTAGGAAATTATCTGCAATATTATTACATATGTAAAACCTATCAAAGAATCTAAATGAAATGAGTAAATTTCAAAATTTTGCATATAAGACTCCATTATATCTGAAATACACTTCAGATCTTTGGAAATGCAAATTACAATTTAAAATAAATGTTACTGATACAGAAAGGTGGTGAAATTATGTCATGTCGTTTCATACTGTTTGTTCACATGCCTCTTGCCCTTTCGGTCCAGTCTCGTTGCCCTAGCTTTGTTTGCTTGTCAGATTGACAAATATCCATTCCCTACCCCTGGTAGTCTGCCTCAGGCACAGGCAGCCTTCGGCCCTCCAGATGTTTTGGCCTACAACTCCCATGATCCCTAGCTAACAGGACCAGTGGTCAAGGGATGATGGGAATTGTCATCCAAAACATCTGGAGGGCTGAAGGTTGCCTATGCCTGGTCTCCCTTTTTCTTTTCCTGCTCAATAGCCTCTGCAGAGTCTGAAGTTGGTGGCCTTGCGGGAGATATGGGCAGTTTCCAGTTCTGTGACCTCACGAATCCTGTACTGAGATGACATGCACAAGACGGGTAGAGCCACCCTTTTATGAAAAGTCCATTTTTTGTAAGGTTCTTGCTCAACAGCCTTAATAGAAGTATCGAAGGGGGAGGTGTTAACAGCCCGTTAAGCAAAGGTCTTTTCTTATTCTTCAAGACGCCTGTGCCTCTTGAGACTCCATCATTGACACCTGAGCTCAGCATCACATACACTCCAACAAAAGCACAAAAACAAATGCCAAGTTCACTAACATTACAATCTCTTTTAATTGCATAAATACCTCCTCTGCCAGCTATTAATATAGCAAATTCTAATTTAGTCCGTGTGCTCAAAATTCCTTGAGATTCCTCATTTCTTGCTGGCAGGACCTCAGAATTATCCTGCAAGCAGTTGATTATAAACTTCCTAGGGATTACTTGCCCTTGCAGTGTTTCCCTGGGAGACTTCATGATCTGGACATTGGAGCAACTTTTTCAAATAAGACTTCTGCAGCTGATGGATTTGGCACTTCTCCACTGTCCTTCTGAATAAAGAACTGTGTGCGTTATCCCATCCTGACCAAATCACTGACACATGGCTATTGGTGGTATGCTTGGTGCTAATGTAAACTTTCTGGCTACAGCAGCACTGGAGGCGCTTAATTTCACGCCGGAAAGTTTTGCTGAAAGTATAGTAAATGAAAAGGGTTGTAGGCTGTTGAGGATTTAGCAAAAAGACATGTCAACATTCACTGGATTCACTGGAGTGAAATATTGACCAGAAGCTGACTGCGGCATATGGTGTCCATGCGCTGAAGAATCCCACACTGATCAGTACAGCCATCTGTAAAAACAACCACTTATAATTAGTTACTGGCTGGCTTTTTATATTTTCTCCTTCTCTATCTGTTATTTCAAATCGGTGAGAGAGAAATGAAGGATTAGTGCTTCAACATTTAAGAGATATTTAAACAATTGTCTCTTGCTTTTATTTTAGGCTGCCCATTCATTTTATCCTAAGACCCAAAAGCAGTATGCTCTGCAGTACAGCAGCCCTCCAGCAGAATAAAATAACACAAGATCAGGATAAGACATTAAGAACAGCATCCTTTGTGTTTATCAGATGCTTTACATCATAATGGAATGTCACCTGGTTCAAATTATAGTCCTATAGAAAAAAATATGCCAGGACCTCAGCATCTCATACAATAGCAATATATATACCACATGCTTCCTCTAGGAGCCCATGTATTGCAAGATCTGAGAGTCTTACAGTATACAGGTTCATCATTAAGTTAGTCCCCAGTATGTATGTGGCTGGGAAAACCCAACCAGATGGGTGGGGTATAAATATTTTGAATATGAATATTATTTCGCATTAATACAATAAGCTTTCATACCAATGAATCTAACAACTGAAAAACAGAGGAATTGCTCAATGTCTGCAACTCAAATGGAACACAAACCATATATGAAGGCAAACACACACAAACAGCCCAGTCCATAGCATCCATAAGTGCTTTGGCATTTCCCCAATATTTTGACAATAATTTTCAATCTGTAGGGACATAATGTCTGAGTCAAAGCAGCACTGTGTTCCTATTGCTCTTTAAAATACAGAAATACTCTGCTCGCGACAACACAGATCCCACCAATGTCAATTTCTTTTCCAGCTTTGCTGCATCTGAAGTCCTGTTGAAGTTCTGCATCTCATGAGAGGTTTTATGAACCTTCCAGGCGATTCCCAAGTAACAGATGGTGATGGTAATTGCTGGCAGAATGGTACAGATCCTACAGATGACTTACTGGGTTACACATTAGGGAGAGCTTTCCTAAATAAAACATCTTCAAGAAGACACCTAAACATTATGATGCCAGGCACCTGTCTAATTCCAGCTGGGAATGGATTCCAGAGGGCTGGAGCTACACTACTAAAAGCCAATTTCTAGTACAACCTAAGCACACCTCTGGCTCATGCAGCACTCTCAGCAGCGCCCCATCTGAGAATATCAAGGAGCAAAATATGTGTTGTGGCTGCTTCTGGCTTCCCTCCTCCCTTAGATATTTATTTGGGTTTTATTTATTTAAAAATTTGTTGGATTTTTCTCCCAGTTTTCCTGCAAAGAACTCTGTGATGATTTAGCCTCATAATTCCCACCCCTTTGCCCCTCAGTGAAGGAAATCAGGCTGAGAGACTGACTTCCCATAGTGAGGCTCACAGCTTTTTAAATCTGGGCCTTTCCACCATCGAAAACATCTCTCTAGTCACACACATTTCCTATGCGCTGCCAGAGAAGGCCACAGGGAGTTAGTGCAGAGCCCTTGAGAGATGCTCTGAACCACCCTTGGGTTAAATGCACAGTATTTCCCCCCATACCTGGCACGTGCTGCTTCCACTGCTAGGCCCAGCAAATTGCCTTGGCCTGTGGCGGCGCATTCTGACAGGGCAGCAAGACAACGCTGCGCTACAACTTCATCTCTGCAAGCTTTCACCTTCAAGGAAAGACACAAAAGCAAAACTTGACAACAGCCAAGAACTGTTTGCAGCATAATTCTATAGGGCTCCCTGGTTCTGCTCAAGTTGTCCCTTTTATACAATTTGTGCTGTTTTTATATTGTAAGCCACACAGAGAGCTTTGGTTATAGGGTGGGAGATAAATAATCAAAGTAAATGAGTAAGTAAGTAATAGAGACTGTTTTGTAAAAAAGAGTTTGAAGAGGACTCATGTAATCAATATTTATTAGATTACCAGCTTCAATAAGACCTATATCAGTACATCTCCTTGGTGCCAGCAGTTTATCTATCTTGCCATAAATGTCACTCCTGAAACTTAAAGGAAATATCATTCATTGCCTTTGATATAATGCAAACAGATATGCTCTGAAGCCCCAAAATAGGAAACCCTCACAGAGATGCAGATTCACTTGTTTGCGTCTAAGAGGTTCCCAATCAGGGAACTTTGCTGACATCTACTATCACTGAAAAAGAACAAACCCAGGCATTGCACACACATGCCATTATTTAGTTCTAAAAATTACATCCTGACCATCAATGCTAATTAATCACCTGTCCAATATGTGTGTGTGTGTGTGTGTGTGTGTGTGTGTGTGTGTGTTGGGAGGATGAAGTTCAGCCTGCAAACTAAACAGGTTTAGCACAGTTTTCTAACACAATTCTAGCAGTCAATTTAGGAAGGTGGTAACATTTAAAATAAAATGAAGGGTCCAGAAACAAAAAGCAACAAAGCTTTGTTTATGAAAATCAGGAATGTTCAAAATCAACAATAGTAGTTTGATAATGTATTTGCCTATTCTGGTAAAAAAGCCCAAACAGGATATTAGCTATACAACCTCCAGCTATGACCGAAATAAGCCACTACCTTTGACTTTGTCAATTGTTCAGCTTCTGAAGTGTTATACTATATTTGTGAGCAATTAAAGTATGTAATTTTTTAAATAGCTATCAACACACAACAACAACAACATATTATTTATACCCCACTCATCTGGCTGGGTTTCCCCAGCTACAAGACATAGATAGACAGGACAAGAGAGGGGCTTCATGAAAGAAGGGAGTAGAGAACAGTATTAAAATGCTATTTTCTCTGAGAGAGAGAGAGAGAGAGAGCACGCAATATGGAAAATGCATATTATTTCAATCGGTCAAAGTGATCCTAAGCATATTAAGAAGTATTCTTAACTGTAATATGGTTTGACACAAATATAAAACAACACTGTATGCTGATTTATAATGTCAATATTACTTTACCTATTAAATCCCTAATACTTACCTTTTTAAGTTTTTCAATCTGTTTGTTACGGACTGAAGTGTTATCAATTGCCAAAACTTCAACAGTCTCTTCTTTTTCCAACTGGTATTTATTGACTCCGACAATTACTTCAGAACCTGGGTATTTCCCAAACGTTAAGGATTTAAAATAAATTTCAGAAACTGCTAACTTAAAACAAGTTGCGACATGAAGTCAGCTTTCTAAAAAGAAAAACACAACCTGAAAGCTTTTTCACCAACGGCATTCAAATTTTAATTTAGGTAGCTAAGATTTTCAGCTTGCATGCACGTAAAAACTGCAATACTTCCACACAGGTGAACGTGTTGTGATCTGTATTGGAAAGGAGAGGAAACCTCAAATACAGAAAAGTCAATGGGACCCATGAACAATGTAAGAAACCGTGGATGCTATTAACAGAAATAGCTGTGCAATATGAAGTCACAGGCAAGATACTCATATAAAAGGTAAAGGGACCCCTGACCATTAAGTCCAGTCGCGGACGACTCTGGGGTTGCGGCGCTCATCTCGCTTTACTGGCCGAGAGAGCCGGCGTACAGCTTCCGGGTCATTTGGCCAGCAGGACTAAGCCGCTTCTGGCAAACCAGAGCAGCGCACGGAAACGCCGTTTACCTTCCCGCTGAAGCAGTACCTATTTATCCACTTGCACTTTGACGTGCTTTCGAACTGCTAGGTGGGCAGGAGCAGGGACTGAGCAACGGGAGCTCACCCTGTCACGGGGATTCGAACCGCCGACCTTCTGATCGGCAAGTCCTAGGCTCTATCGTTTAACCCACAGCGCCACCCATGTCCCTTATAGCAGCCAGAAAATACACAATTCCCCTATGAAACAGAGGACTTGTATAGGGCAATAGAAATCAGTTCAAAAATATAAACTACTTTTTGAAAGGCCCCCCCCCCCCCCCGGTAGTAGGTGGTTCATTATGCAGCATGGGCGACTGCATGAGAAACACAATTTCCCCTGGGCTCACAGCACTAGTTGCAGAGTTCACTGGAACCCAGCCATTGTTTCTCAGACATTGTTGCTCAGACAGGCAAAAAGCAAATGCAACTACAGTGGTACCTTGTGTTGTGTAACCTCCGCCGCGCGTGTGCACAGAAGCGGTCATCCAGTTACGAAATTTTCGGGATATGGCCGGGCCTCCGGAATTGATCCCGTTCGTAACCAGAGGTACCACTGTACTACTGTTTCCAAAGGATTTAATTTCATACACTGACAGACTTATCTTACTAGCAACTGTTGCTGAAATTCAACTGGGATTCTACATTTTCATTCTCCTAATTTTGGACTAGAGTTTTAAGAGTTATGGGAACTTAAGTTTTAATATATGAATAAAGGTATTCAAGTTCAAGGCTGATACTTGTCTATATGTCTGGCAGACTGCGGCTGTGCAGTTACGCAAGTGTATGTTGTGTTTAAATAGTGTCCATTTTCCTTACCAGAAACAATCCTGGCTTGTCTCCGAGCAGCACACTCTTCAATTCGAAGTTTGGGTATTCCTTCAGCTACAGCTTTGGCCATCCCACCCATTTCCTCAATCTCATTAATGAGCTAACCAGACAACAAAATTTGGATACTGTTAATGACTCTCAGTATGTGGCTGTCTAGCACTAAAATCACCATTAAAGCAACATTCTCTCACCCCACTATTTGCAAGGAAACTACTGTATTTTTCGCACCATAGGACGCACCTTTTCCCTCCTAAAAAGCAAGGGAAAATGTGTGTGCATCCTATGGAGCGAATGCAGGGGGGGAGGCAGGTGGGAAAAGCCCCCAAGAGCTGCACACAAGCTCTGTGCGCTCTTGCGGGCTTTTCCACAGGAGGGAGAAGGGACTGACTGGCCGCATCAGTCCCTTCTCCCACCTCCCAGAAAAGCCAGGAGAAGCCGCAATCTCTTTAAAGGGATGGCACGGCTTCTGCGGGCTTTTACGAGAGGTGAGCGAATCCCCCCACCTCCCAGGAAAGCCAGAAGAAGCCGTGCAGCCCTTTTAAAGTGTGTGCGGCTTCTGCCGGTTTTGCGGGAGGTGGGGGAATGCCCCCACCTCCCAGGAAAGCCAGGAAAGCCCTGCGCAGCGTCTCCGGCAGGGAGAGGTTGTGCGCAGCCTGTACGCTGCGCTTTGGGGCTGGGGGGGATATTTTTTTCTTGATTCCCCCCCCTAAAAACTGGGTGCGCCCTATGGTCCGGTGCGCCCTATGGTGCGAAAAATACGGTACTTACAAAACTGGGACAGATGAAATGCAAACATTTAAGACCAGAGGTGGGGAACTGCATCCAGCCAGTGTGCTGGCTCCCTAAGACTCTCACACTCTGGTGTCAAAGTCCAAAGGGGATTGTTGCAAACTGCCCAGCTGATGGGCAGTTACAGCTACCTCCTTTGAAGGTAGGCTCCCAAGTCCAATCAGCTGACTGGTGCTGGGAGTGTGCCCTGAAACACAAAGCAGTTTCCATTGAAAGCATTATTTTATTATTATTATTTATTAAATTTGTATAATGCCCTTCAGCTGATGATCAGAGTTCCCCCTCTTGCTTTCACAAGCAGTTTCAGTGCTTCAAAAAACAAACAAACAAACAAACAAACAAACAAACAAACCCCTCCCCGATGCCCTGGGTAGTTCCCATGGGGAAATTCCTGAGGAACTCTACAGCACTGAAAGGGAGTTCCACTTGCAAAGGAACAATCAGGAGCTCATCCTTCCAAATGGCATTTCTTAAAACCAGGTTTGTGAAGAGCTGTTTGTTTACCCACCTCAGTCAAGCAAGATGTTGTTCCTGCTAATCAGGAAGGTATGTAAATTGGAAAGCATGTAGTTCTCTTATTTTAGGTAAAGGTAAAGGGACCCCTGACCATTAGGTCCAGTCGTGGACGACTCTGGGGTTGCGACGCTCATCTCGCTTTATTGGCCGAGGGAGCCAGCGTACAACTTCCGGGTCATGTGGCCAGCAGGACTAAGCCGCTTCTGGCGAACCTACTCTTCCTCGAGGTCTTCGATGATCAGATCATCTGAAAGGAAAAGAAGAGAAGGCTTTAGAGAGACTTTCTTATATACACTGAACATATACATGGAAAAAGGCCTTACCTTCAGGTGGACTTTCCTTCTCTTTTGCCTGAGATGGCAAGGAAGTACGTGGAGCCTGCAGGGAAACAAAGAGCCACATGGGATATGATTATTTATCTAAAGCTCAAAATAGGCATCAGACAGAGACCTTTCCTAAGAAATCTCAGGGACTGGAATCAACTTCTATAGGCTGAAAGGTTTTACCTTCGAAGTCCTTTCGAAAAGGGGCCTGCAGGCGCCGGCGGGGGGGGGGGAGGAGGATTCTGGGAGAGGGCACACTTTATTTTTTCTTGCCATCTGCAAAATAGCTCTTCGCAGCCTGGAAAGCCTAGAAAAGAAAGAGAAATGGGGCTTACAGTTAGTACTCTCTCATGCCTCTAAGCTCAAGAGGAATTCACTACCCTCACAGAATGCAGATGCTGAGAGAAATCCTATTTACATGTCTATCTTCCTGGAACAAACGTGAAATGATCCAACCATAGGAGTTCACCAGGCCTTTTTGCACTCTGGTGACCAGTGAGCCAGCAGAGGGAGGTGTCACAATGGGGCTGCCCCTTGAAAATCGGGACACTTGGCAGGTGTCCTGAGGTGCCCAGATGGGAGACCACCAGGGAACCCATGATATGGTGCTTAGAATGATACAGACAAAAGTATTACTTAAATAAATACATCTCTAGACACACTGTCCTTTTGATCTTTTCTCATGCAAGAATATTTCCCTAAGTCAGAAAGAGGCCTCCTGCTCATGAAAGTGCACCTTCGGGCCTGAGCCTCCTAAATAGCTCTACTTGGGAGTAAATTATTCTGCCCCAGTGGAAATTGGTTCCTAGTGAGCATCCTTGGGGTTGTGGTATGAGGAACAGGACACTGCTGTCAAGAAAGGGGAGAGCTAGCTTGACTCAAGTTTGCCACGTGTTGGGGGGCTCAAAGAACAATCCCATGCTTGGGTGGTACATCTAGAAAGATTTTTAAAATGTGTGTGGCACGGTGAGGTAGAAGAAGGGTTGTGTCATTCACACATCATTAAAAATGCCATACACATGATCCAGTAGACACCTCTGGAAGTTGCGCAGCAATGGCCGCCACATCTTGCTGGGCTACACAACTCGCAGCAGTCCCCACCATCATGGCCAACCGTCAGGGGTGAAGGGAGCTGTCCTCCACTAACATCTGGAGGGCACCCCATTGGTTACCCCCCAAGTATAAGGGTGTTCAAACCTTAATGTGTTAATTGTTTAAAAATCATACCCTCCAACATTCATCTGATGACAATAGGGACGTCCCATTCCATAATGATAATTTTACTCTCTATACCCCACACATCCTACTGGGTTGCCCCAGCCACTCTGGACAGCTTCCACCATATATATATATAGGTTTTAGTATGAGAGGAACAAAGTATAATACAGTGATATGTGTGTATGAGTGTACGTATGTGTTTTCTTTAAAGAGAGAGAGGGGGGGATGAAGAAAGGGAGGGGGAGAGAAAAAGAGAGAAGGAAGAGGAGAGATGGGAAGAAGAAAAATGGGGTGGGGGAGGGAGAGGGAACTAGCAGTGGTATGGGGGAAAGTTTTGTTTTTTAAAAGAGGGGGTAGGAGGGGGAGAAAGGGCTCCCCCCGCAAAAACAGACTGAGAAACAGGCTAAAAAGGGGGTCCGATTTTAAAAAACTAAAAGGATAGAAAATGAGGATGAAAATTAAAAAGTGAGGCGAAAGGAGAAAATAAGGGAAAAGTAAATTAGAAGGAGTTGTGTGTCTGGGGTGGAGTGGCCTGTGCTGGTTCAGGGCTCTCTTCTGGGCACTGCCATTTTAATTTTTGAAAGAAAGGTTTGAGGTAGAAATAAAGATAAGATTTATTGTCTAATTTTTATTATTGTTATTATTTATTGGAGTTAAGGAAAATATATATTGAGAAGAAGGAAATAAAATAAAAATAAAACAAAAGCTATTGGAAAGGAAAGAGGACAACAAGAACAACAAAAGTGCCCCTCCCCCTTTTGGAGGGGTGGAAAGTGTGTTTTAAGTAATATATGGATGTATTTTAAAAATGGTACTAATAGTAATTTAGTAAAAGAGCTGAAGACTTAGGGAAGGGGGGGAAGGGTTGATTTTTAAAGGGGGTTAAAATATATGAAAGGGGGGAAGTTTATGTGCACCGGATGCCCCCAGCCCCCACACAGCGGTCCCGGCAGCTTGGAAGCCGGTCAGGCGGCATGAGCAACCCAGGCCACCCTCAGGAACTCTGCGACGCCCAGGTGTGCGCCATGTTGCTTTGCCCACCATATATATAAAAGTAACAAGGTCTTTTTCCAGCGGGCCTCCCTCTGGGCTCCGGGGGAGGTGGGCTCGGGTTGGGCCTGGGCTTGAAGGAGGTGAGGACAGGTGACCCCCCCCTCAATAATCACCCCAGGCCTCCAAACTGTCCAAAATTCCTTTTGTCTTCTAAAAATCCCCAGCTAAAGTTTTCCTCTGTTTTCTCACAAGATGCATAGGCAAACCGTTACTTTTATCAGTACTAGAGAGCTTCAAAAAGGCTAATGAATAGACTCTGTCAGAGCAGGCCTGGGAAGGGACTTTTATCTCATTCAGTTGCAACATCTTGGACATGCTGCACTGTTCTCATTCCCCTTTCCTGGGAAGGGCGCCAAGAGTCCACCATAGTCCCAAGAGAGCTTTCTGTACATGCTCAGGAACCTCAACATGGGGCAGGACTCCTGAGGGAGGAGAAAGGGGAGGGAACTAGAAGGGGAATATATACTCTGTGCACAGGACTGTGAACTCGTGCATGTTTTTGTGAGTTCTCACACTTGCTCCTTCTACCAGTTCATGGGTGGTAGAAATAAAGCTTTTCCTCCAAAACTATTCCTTGAGTGTCTCTTGACTCCCACTTCCCTTTCCCGGGCGCAATATTTTTCCCACCCGAGGGCAAAGCCTCATAAGGCTACAGGCTCAGCCACATGTTTCCTCGCGGCCTCCTCCTGCCTCTCCTCCTTTCCCTTGGCATTGGCAGCGCAATGGCGGTGGCAGCAGGGCCAGGGCTTCTCCTCTCCCCCTCCGCGCTCGCTCCTGGGTCCCACCGGCCCCTTCTCCCCTCCTTCTCCCCTTCTCCTATCCCTCTGGGTTGTCCCAGGCCTTGGAGCTCCGCTCGGCCGTTGGCCAGATGCCCTCGGCTCCGGCCTGGTGGGGTCGCTGGGGGGGTCTGGCGGCTCCCCGGTTGATACATTGGGTGCCCCCAGCCCCCACGCGGCGGTGGTGGTCCCGGCAGCTTGGAAGCCGGTCAGGCAGCACAAGCAATACTGGCCACCCTCAGGAGCTCTGCGATGCCCTGGTGTGCGCCATGTTGCTTTGCCCACCATATATATATAAAGGAAACAAAAAATGAAACATTAAAAAAACCCATCCCTGTACAGGATTGCCTTCAGATGGCTCGGGGGTCAGAGAACTCCATACCCTCTTACATTTCTTCAGTGAAACTAGGGACACCATAGGGAATGGTGGGACTTTGAAGGATCAAATCAGAAACCAGGACGGCTTCTCTCAATGAGGGACATCCCTGGAAAATAGGGACACTTGGAGGGTTTGAACAATGTGTATTGTTTCAACTCTGTGTGAACCACCCAGAGAGGCTTTCACCCCTATCGTGTTTATCAATTAATAATAGCTGCAGAAAGGATTCAATGACTTAAGAGAGGGGGGCCTCCCTTTTGGTGAAATGTCCTTTGGGCCTCCTCCAACATAAGCCTTGCTTTCTTCTTAAGCCGTAAGTGGTAGCAGAAACTGCACAGAACAGCTGATGACTGTTGGGTGCAAGAGATCTGGCACCCCAGGTTGCCATCACCACCCATTTCTGCAGGTGAGGGTAAATGAAAGGCAAAATACTACAAAGAGCGCCCACAGCTCCAATGTTTTTGGAGCTGGTCCTTCGTTGCCCAGATTTCTCTTCACTATTGCCTACCTTGGACCCCTGACCGTTGGGTCCAGTCGCGGACGACACCGTGGTTGTGGCGCTGATCTCGCTTTATTGGCTGAGGGAGACGGCGTCCAGCTTCCGGGTCATGTGGCCAGCATGACTAAGCCGCTTCTGGCGAACCAGAGCAGCGCACAGAAACGCCGTTTACATTCCTGCCAGAGCGGTACCTATTGATCTACTTGCACTTTGACATGCTTTCAAACTGTTAGGTTGGCAGGAGAAGGGAACGAGCAACAGGAGCTCACCCCGTCGCAGGGATTTGAACCGCCCACTTTCTGATCGGTAAGCCCTAGGCTCTGTGGTTTAATCCACAGCGCCACCTACATCCCCCTACCTTGGTAAGTACTGCTAAATGCCTCATTATTTGCTAGGACTGTGGCAAAATCGGTCAGGAGGTCTTTTCCGCCTTTTTAAAGCTCAGTGAGGTCTGCCGCACACAATCAAAAGGACAGAGGCAGGACAATGCCCAGGTGGCAGCCTTCTTTGAGTCACACTTGTTCACGATTGCAATGGATTGCAATTTGGCGACACCAAAAAGGAAACCCACCAGGTCATAATAAATGCAAGTTGCATGGCCCCCCAACCAGGCATGGTTCCAGGTAGAAGCAATAGCCAGGGGATACATGCTGATGGCCATTCCAAGATACAGCCAGATTAATCGTCAGGAGCTCAGGTGACCTGAGATGGGAGGAGCTTCACAGTTACTGCCAGGACAGCTGAATTCCCCAGAACTGTCAGGATGCCTGAAAGGAGGAGGAGGAAAGCAGTGTGGTTTTCAGGCATTCATAATCAGTCAACAAACCAGTGCGGTTCATCACCCTGCAAGATGCAAACATCATGACCCACAGCCAGTGAATACTCTATAACTCAAGGTTTAGAAGCCATAGCAGTCTTCTTTTTTTAACGAGAAGTAAGTATTTTATTCACAGGCCTTTCTCCACAATAGGTAATGTGTTACCCAAAGTAACATGAAACAGCTGGTGAATTTATATCAGTGGATTTGTGACTGAAGGACAGGTAAGGGTCAGAGCAAGAGTGGATTCTGTTTCAGCCACAAATCAGTCACTTTCTAGCATCTAGTCTTGATACCTGTGGTATGCTCGCTTCAACACTGTAGAGTTATTTTCTTGACAATGTAAAAGGTGAATTGAAGTGTGCATCCAAAAGAAAATGTTGGTGGGGTCGCCTGACATTCCCGAGAATAGCAATCCCTTGAGTAGTAAGAAGTGGGGAGGGCGAGAAGGCTGTCCAGTCCTAATACCCTTGTTGGTGCAAACTCTGTG